GAAAAAATTTGCAAAGTGATGTTAAGGCATGGGGACATGCCCTTGGGCTCGGTGGCACGTTCCCGGGTGCGGCTCGAGGCGCGGGTGCGGGACTCGGCACGAGCGGCCCGGGTAAGGACTAGGGCTCGGTTAAAATGATCAATACTTATACTTTGATATTATTATACACTTAGAAAAATATTCTAAGTATAAAAATACCAATGCTTGGCCATGCTCGGAATTTACCTGAAAATTTACTTGGAACCAAACTAGGGTTCGGAGTCGATAAATTCTCGAATTGACATGCTATTATTTATCAACCTAAATTAATGGATTAATCTTAACTTATACTTGAGATAGAATTATTCAAAGAATAATTTATCATGTTTGAGCATTTAGCATAAATAATATAACTCGATAATTTCTAAAAATTACAGATTTCACTTATAGTCGAGCAGTGAAACCGTTCTTACTATTATTACTGATTTGGGGCGTTACAAGTTTATTTTATGTAATCTTCGCCGTAGATTACGATTTGAAGATTCTTCTAGTCGACTACTTTCCTCTGCACTGAATTCTAAGAAATATGTGATTTCATTTTGTTTTAAATTAAGATTTTTCATACTGGGAATCAGAATGTGAAGAGCGAATGTTCGCAACTTTGCTCCACTTCTTTCTAGCATTGTGTTTTCATAGAGGGTTTCTCTTAATATTTTCAATCCTTATAGAAAAGGATTAAATGTATTCCTTTTACAGCTGTGGTATCAGTTATGTAACCAATTCGTCGATTTTGTTAAATTATAGTACTGAATTGTGAGGAAACTCATTAATGGGCTATCTTGAAACTTGAATTATAGTACTGAATTGTCAGGAAACTCATTAATGGGCTATCTTGAAACTTGGAAAAAAAGAAGAAGATGGTTGATGATAAATGGCTTAAAAAGTAGGTGCCTATTGCATTTGATATGTAGATTGATGAATGAGATGTAAGTAAGTATATATCTGGCAAAATTTCAGGCGTCGAGTGCTTGAAAAGGCGTTAGCTAATTCGGGTGTGTCTGAGGCTGAGCAGTTGAACCTTATCAAGGAATTGGAGCGTAGAGAGACAGAGTACATGCGGCTTAAGAGGCACAAGATTACAGTTGATGATTTCGAGCTTTTGACCATTATAGGAAGGGGAGCCTTTGGCGAGGTTCAACTTTCGTTTTTNCTGTTGTTCTCAAAGATAGTGTTTGCATTTTTGTTTCAAATAATGTAACCTCTGGTGACAGGTCAGACTATGCCGCGAGAAAAAAACCGGCGACATTTACGCAATGAAGAAGTTGAAGAAAGCTGAAATGCTTAGTCGTGGACAGGTCAGCCCTTTCGAAATTTCAAATCATTTAAAAGTCATACATTTTCAAACTGACATGCATGCTATGTAAATGTAGGTCGAGCACGTAAAAGCGGAAAGGAATTTGCTAGCCGAGGTTGCTAGCAACTACATTGTCAAACTCTACTGCTCTTTTCAGGACACAGAGTACTTATACTTAGTCATGGAATATCTTCCTGGTGGAGACATGATGACTCTTCTCATGCGAGAAGACACGCTAACCGAGACAGTCGCTCGATTTTACATTGCCCAAAGTGTCCTCGCCATCGAGTCACTCCACAAACACAACTACATTCACAGGTTACTCACTCACTCATTAATTAATTAATTAATTAATTAATTAAATTAGTTTCTTTAGTCCAATATATGTTATGCTTAGTGTTTTTTTTTTTTTC